TAATCAGAGGTTGAGCTTGCCAGGAAAAGGTGGAATATACACGTCGATAACATTAATTCTGCAAGCTCAGGCCTGAGGCGAACAAGGGGCTATTCACGGGGAGGCGCTAGATCTTGGAGATTATACCAGTTGACAGAATAGTTCAGGAGATTAATGACTTTCTCAAATAGACAACTGACACTAATTAAACTATAAACATCAGATTCTCTGATGTCGGGGCGACAAAATGATATAACTTCAGGCGCGATCAGAAACTCATGGATACCCCCACGGACGACATAAAATACGCCACTCTAGCTGACAAACTCGACACTCACTTATTTGACACGTTCTACTAACGATAAGGACAGTTGAAGCATTCTACCCCACTCACAATGGATCTTGAATGTTCCAACTGTAAACAGACATATCTAAGTTGACTCAAAACAAGGGTGTTCTCTCTCACACTCAAATTCATTTTATAGAGAGGTTGGTTTCAGTAAGTCAGAGAAAATGGGATAACGGAGGACTGAGGTGTCTTGAAGTGATGAGAAAACGGACTCCTCAGATGGAGGACTCAAACGAAAGCCGAGTTACATGTTTTGTGGGCAATTAAGCGTAATATGAATCATTTGATTTTGGCGCTAACTGACGTGTAAGACCGTGGTCATTACAATAATGATGACATCCACTAATCCCCACACCAACACACACGTAGAGGAGCTTAAGAGAAGGGTGGTGACGTGACTAGCCAGGTCAGGTCAGAAAAAAGGGACCCACAAAATAACTATCATACATCTAGATCAAAGGTTTTCAAAGCATTTTTAACCTTGGGCCACTGACAAATAAATTTATGTAACATATTATCAGTTTTGAACTGACCATCACTAAGGTTTATTGATTTTAATTCCTTAATCAAACTAGCTTCAACCAGAAGTCTTTCTGTGACACAAGATGATTTGAATACTTCTAAGCTTTTTTCCCAAGTAATGGGGTGATTATTATTCCTAACATGAACGAACAAGGCACTGCTTTCAGATGCAGTTCTGATATTATACTTATGCTGTTTGATTCTCAGCTGCAGTGTTTTTCCTGTCTGACCTACATATATATATATATATATATATATATATATATATATATATATATATATATATATATATATATATATATATATATATATATATATATATATATATATATATATATATATATATATATATATATATATATATATATATATATATATATATATATATATATATATATATATATATATATATATATATATATATATATATATATATTTATTTATTTATTTATTTATTTTTTTCATTAGCCCAATAAAGCTGCGCGGGACTTCTACATACAATCAACTTGCCTCAACCGCCAGGATTCGTGCCACGGCCACTGGCGGGTTGAGGTGTTGATGTAAAAGAATCGTGCTTCAATGAACTTTAATAATATATCGATCCTCGTGTTTCGAAGCGGGATTTGGTAAAACGTTGCTCTGATCACCTAAGCGGCACGGGTGGTCCCCATTAGAGGTTCACGGCACGATAAGCTCATTGAAAATGAGGCTTTGTGTGAAATATAACAGAGTCTAGGACTGCTTTTAGTGTCCTGGTGGCCCAGAGGTAGCGTTCCCCGGTCACAATTATAAGATCGTGGGCTCTAATCCTGGTGGGGTGAGGTGTTGATTATATGTAGAAATCTGCGTGCCTTATTGAGCTAATGAAATATATATATATATATATATATATATATATATATATATATATATATATATATATATATATATATATATATATATATATGCTTATAACCACAAGGAAAGAAGAAAACACGAAGTTCCCAAGCGCTTTCGTGTAATTCACATCTTTAGGGGTGAGTACAGTCTGCACTCACCCCTAAAGATGTGAATTACACGAAAGCGCTTGGGAAATTCGTGTTTTCTTCTTGCCTTGTGGTTATCAGCATATACCTGGATCACGCGCTTGTTTCCTCTCTACAACTTCAAACAGACTTGGCTTGACTAAACTTAATCTTGTTCTCACCTGTCTCTTCACCATTAACTCTCCTGTCACACTATGTGGCGTGGTTCTGTATCTGAGTAAGAAATTTGCTAGTCTGTGTTTCATTGATTTTCCTACAGTTCCTTGAATTACCTGCTTGGAAAGTGCTTCCTTTACAATTCTAGCTGATCTCTCAGCTGCACCATTAGAGGCAGGATGATAGGGTGGGGTCAGTACATGCTTTACACCGTTGAGTCTCATGAAGTTTTTGAACTCTGATGATTGGAATGGAGGACCATTGTCAGACACTACCTCTTCTGGTATTCCATGTTCGGCAAATATTAATCTTAATTCATCACTGGTGCTACCAACATTAGTACTGTACATGTGCTTAACATCTATCCGCTTTGAATGACTATCAATT